AGATATGGTAGATTTTACTGATACAGTCATGGTCAGCTGCATCTGCAGTGTTTTTCCCATCACCATTTGCCAATGACTCAGTCTAGCAGTTTGATCAGTCATGCTGCTGCCGAGCCAGTCTTAGTGGTGGACACTGAAGGCCCTGAAGCAGTGTACATTATGCGCCCTTGCCACCCACAATGCTTCCTCCAGGTGTTGTTCAACATGGAGAAGGAGTACTGATTTCATTGCCGAGAGGGGACAGTATGTGGTAATCAGAAGGTTTCCTTGCTTAGTTTTGACCTGATGCCCGAAGACTTCATGGCGTCCGGAGTCAGTGTTGAGGACTCAGAGGGCAGTTCCCTCCCTGCTGTGTACCACTTTGCTGTTACCTCCGCTGGGTCTATCCTGCCGTGAGACAGGACATAGCCAGGGATAATGATGGTGTCATCTGGGATATGGTGTATAAGGTATGATTCTGTGATTATGACTATGTCAGGCTGTTGCTGGGCTCATCTGGGAGGCAGTCCTCCCAATGTTGGCACGAGCTCCCAGATGTGTAAAGGAGGACTTTGCAGGGTCAACAGGGCTGTGTTTGTTATCGTTGTTTCAGGTGCCTTAATCACTGCCAGGCAGTCTGACCAGTTATAGTCCTTTGCCTTCAGAACAAAACAGAAGAAATGCACCGGGGAAAATGTTTATACTTCTTTCATCATTATCCCTTTATCTGCGTGCAGTTGTTTTCACCTTTCATCAGTGCCACCAGGGCCAGATACCCCCAAAACTTCACTAAAACACACATTTTATAATGATCCTTGTCAGCAATGTTGGAAGGCTGTTAAATTAGGAAAGGCATCACAAGGACATCCATTCATTCCTTTAATTAGATGACATCCAGAAACACACACATAGACTTGCACTCCGAGATGAGACTACTGAATAGTAATCCAAATAGTCATTCCAAACATCAGAACTCCTTACCCTAATACCATGCCCAACTCCTTGACATGTACTCTCATTTGGCCCTTAAGGTACTCTGACAACATTTTGCTTTTGAAATACAGCTCCTGCAGCCGATCTTCAAGATGCATTATACACTAAATGAAGAAAAAAAGCAAAATAAGTTCAATACCTTACGTATAAGAAATCAGTCATTTCATCATCTGAGCCAGAATTTACGAAGTTAATTTTGCATCCCATCTCCTGCTATACTGAAACACAATGATTTTTAAAATTGTGGAGAAATCCTCTAGATTCAAATCCAAAACAGATTAATGGATCAAAAATTATTTTTTATTAGTTGGGACTTAATGTGATGGAAAATGGGCTTCAACATTTTCAACTCTGTTTCACATGCTGGAAAACAGTATCTAAAGTTCATCTTACTTGGGGACCATAACAGAGAAAGCATGTGTAGTGGTACAGTTGATGGTGTATTGGTTTAAGAAAAAGAGGGACAGTGTGGAGTAAAAGGGAATTAATTTCTCAAACACTGTCACCTCACCGCTGAGTCTAGTTTTACTACTGTGTTCCTGTGACTACTGGTATCATTCAGTAAAATGCCTGCTCCCTTGCAAACAGGGCCTTCTGCAACTAGAACTTCATCCTGATCAAAATGCATGGAATTTCAACTTTGATATGGCTGAAAATCAGCAACTGTTTTCCATTCCCCATAGATAATCAAGCTGACTTGTTGCACCCTAGGTGTAACCCAATATTCCTGTTGCAATGTACCACAGGTCCTGTCTAAGCATCAGTCATGTTTTCCAGATTCTTTTGGGCTTAAATAATTCATTCACTTCAAAACCACTCCTCATAAAACTCTTGTGTTTACCATAAACTTTCTACACCATGGCATCGCCTTTAATAAAAATTCTCATACCTTTCTATTCAGATACTACTCATCGTTGGTCTTTTCAATCTCTAGCTGACCCGCCTTCATTTGTCAAATCTTTCACACATCAAGTCCTGATCATCAGGAGGGATAATCATAAAAATAAACTGTCAAAATTTACAGCACTAAAGGGGAACATCTGGCACAACTCTTTACTGGAGAATCTTGAAATAAGCTAACTACATTACCCTCTCTAATCCTGTAACTTCCTCTATTTTAAATACTTACTTACCTTAAAAATGCATTAGCTCAGTCTCAACTGTTCCTTGTAAGCATTTCTCTTAACATATCTTTCTGAAATGTCTCTCTGAAATCTCTGTATAATAACATCTCTCAAACTTCTTCTGTACTTGCAGCAACAATTTTAAAATCAATACCGCCTCATCTATGGTTCCCAAGGCAACAGGAATAATCTTTTTCTATTCATACCCTGTATAATTGCAAAACATATGCACCTTTGGTGTTCTCTGTTAGAGTTACAATAATAAAGACCTTTCATCAAACAACTATAATTCTGGTTAATTCTCACTATATACTCAACAATATAGCAGTCAAAACTGATTGAACTTTTTGGCTGTACCCTAGTCATTTTTGTGAACAAAATTAAACAATTTCTTGGTTTTGGGCTTTACAATCCTACTCATCTTTATATATGCACCTTAGATATTAGTTCCTCAGTTTACGTCATTGTTGAATTTATGCTCCCATTCCTTATATTTTCCTCCAAGCGTAGGTAATTTCCCACCTTTCTTCACGATTTTATTTCTACCTTTTAGCTCATTTGTTAGATTGTCTAGGTTTTCCTCACCTATGTAGTAAAATTTTGACAAAAGCCGAGGCCCATTTTTTGAAAAAATATTTACAAAACTGAAGCAATCACTAAATTGCTGGGTGGAACTACTCAACAACCAGTATTTATATACACGCTACAATTCCTTTTGCGCTACGTACCAAACCTCTTTTAAACACTTTCTGAATATCTGTATGTACCTTATATAATTTGGTTACTTTTGTTTATACAATAGGTGCATTCTTCAAGCATGAAGCATTGGAGTTTTTCCTCATCCTTTTCTCATTTTCCTCTAAAATAACTTCCATTTAACTTCAGACACCCCCTCTTACACTACACAATTTAGCTCATACCCTGTTCCTCAATGTCCTTTCGACTCAACTTCCAATGTGCCGGCCTCTTCTTGTTAATATTGATTATAGGGTCTCGAGTCTTCATTCTCAGGTACCTTCTTTCTAAACCACATACACTGCCTTCTTATCAAGCACCTCTGATCCCTCTTTCCTAGAAGTAAAATCCTATAATATATCCTACGCAAAGTCATTAAAAGAACTACATTTTTAATACAAAACAGTGAGGATGCAGTGTGCAAAGGAAGAAGAGTACGAGGTATTCCTGTTCTTCAAAATGATCCTGCAGTAACTGAAGTACTTGGTTGCCAGGAAACAGTGTCCCTTCAGATGGTCAAAGTTCTGATTTTGGTGGTACACTGTCAGGCAGAGTTGAATGAGAGTACTCTCTATGGACGAGCAACTCATTCCAGTAATGATCATCATGGGGGCAAATAACCATCCAGAATTTGCTAGGTCAAAGGATGAAGCAATGCAGTTGTAAACCAGATCCATAGCAACATTGATAAGCTCTGCAAAGGCATTATAAGGTGGAATAAGATGGATTTTGAAATGTTAGTAGGTAAGTGAACATGTACTATTTGAATATGCTGGAACAGAGTATGACAACTGGATGTCAAAATTAAACATTATGAAAATTGATGGCAAGTAGAGCTATTTCCCACTGTATAAAAATTCACATTTTATTCTCGGCAATCATTAGTAACAATCTGAGGAATTTTAACTGATGGAACATCCATGTCTTATCAGTCTTATACTCACAAAGTTTGGTGAAAGATTTAGTTTGTAGAGCTGCAGCGTGGAATGAAGCAAGTTAGATACTAAGCTGGATACAAGTACTTCTTTGCCAAGTCTGTTACTGTCTGTGGTTCTCCTCTGGCTACTCGCAACCTGCACTGTCCACTTATCCAAGTCCGCGATAATGCAAACAGCTTCTGATATAGGTTCATCCAACACCGGATGCTGAACAGAAAGAATATGACAGAAGTCAATATAGTTCCAAACTTGGAGTATTAAATAGCAAACATTTTTCCAAAATAAATGCACATGGTTTAGTAAATCTGTAATGGATGAGACCTGAAACAGGATATCTGCTCTCAGTCATAAACACTTAGCATGAAAAGAAAGGTGTTTTTCTCCACCACCCCCCCACCGAAATCTTAAAATATACCATTATTTTGTTTTCCAACATTTATTTTTTCTTTTAATATAATTACTTTCTTGAGGACGGTTGTTAATAAGCTGACAGTGTCAAGTTGTTTGACAAATTATAATGCAAGAGATAACCATAACATTTTACTAAAAATAGGTTTTGGATTCTAATTATCTAGAATGATAAAGCAAGGATTTTTAAAAAAAATTCTAACTCTTAAGAAATATTCAATAGGTCGTGAAGATTTATTATTCTAAATTATATCGAGTGCTGGAATTACCTCAGTGACCAAATGTCAACAAAAGAATTGAAACAAACTGAGCAAAATAAAATTAGTGACCTACTTGTACAGCGTGCGTTAAATCTGATACCAAACACTGCTTCAGCTTTTCATCACTGCCTGTTCCATGCAGAACAAAGTCAGATACATAATAAGGGCAATAACCACCAAAAAGAGACCTTCCAAAATTTGCCATACTGGGTTTGCTGTGGCTGATTTCAATTACACTTGACCTAAGGAAGTGGGGGAAGAAAAAAGTTAGTTTTTAAGTCCTTTAAAATATATTTAAAAATCAGTTTTCCAAGTCTTTCACTTGTCTGATTTTATTGATCAGCTGAAACTGATGTTGCAAGAATCAGACACTCATTAGCTAGAAAGTGTCATTGAAGTAGTTTTATTACAGTTGAACAAGGAACAAAAGCACAAATATCAATCAGGGATGCACAAAGTTGCAGTCAGGTCAACTCTATGATTTTATATTAGCAGCTGTCTTCTGCAATTAATAAATCAATGACTGGCACAGCTAACCCCATCTCAACAAGGTAATTTTGTAACACACCAGTGGTTGACAACTTTAGTTATTGCCAGTTCCAATAAGCATCAATATAGACCATTCAGGTATCCCTGTATAACTAACCCCAAGGTATAATTACAGTATTAGAATCCTGTCAATGGATATAAGTTGCAGTTTAATCAAGAAGTTTGAATAATTTACTAAGGGACAATGAGCAGCAAAATGCAAAGGAATTTAGAGTATACCTCATCACAAAACAGATAACTAAGTTTAATTCAGTGTTTATGTTGCAACATTTGGATCTCCCCATTATTGATGCAAGATAAGTTCCAGCTGACTAAAAAGAGCAGCACAGTCACTACAAGGTCAGGGCGAAAACACCAAAGTTAACAAACAGAAATTAATTTACCATCAGTCAATTTCCTCTTTTTGTGCAATCTCCCCATTCACCACATGATCTAATTCTGAGAAACTAAGCATATATTAACAACCTTAACACTCTGTCACCACCCATTGGAATTTCAAACACATCACAACCACTAAATCAATGAGCCCACTGGGAAATGCTGTGCCAATACAAAAGGTCCACTTGGAGTTTTCAGGAATGAGACAGGCAGAATGTTTTTTTTCCATAAAGTAAATTAGATTCTGTACTTGCAGTTTATTATGATCATAGTACATTATACAGGGCATACTGTTCCTCAGAATCACACAGGAACACATACAGAATAAGCTTTTCTCCATTAAAATGCAGTAAAATAAACCCCAGTACCAGTACTGTCCGGTTTTACATGGCTTCAATAACATTGCAAAAATCTCAGCAAATCATGGGAATGAGAATGATTTTTATATATATATATATCACAACAACAACTGAAGTGGGGAACTATAAATAGAAAATGTTAAATTCATGCAGAATATGCCCGGAGTTTGAAATGCTGAAATAACAGTGTTTACTCTTCTAATCTGCACAACAGGTGGCTTGTGAATTCACCTCTACTTTCAGACAATAAATCGTAGGGTATAAGCTGTTGATCTTCTAAAATGCTATGTTTCCCTTTTCACAGATGCTAAAAAACAAAAAAAGTGTTTGAGGCTTGTAAACTTTGATTGATACTAAGTCAGTCACAGATCTGAAATGTTGATTCTGTTTCTCGTCAGATATTACCAGGTGTACTGAAAATATCTCCACGACTTTCCATTTTTAATGTAAAATTTCAAACATCTACAGTATTTTGTTGTGTGCTACTTTACATAAATGACAATGATGATCTTTTTGCACCGTCCTCAACTAATATATGGGTTTTCCACAATTACATGAATAAACCCATTTGCTGCTGAAATAAAAACCACAGAAATAGCAGCTTAAATTTTGAGATTCATTCTCTGGAACCTCCCATCATTTTCCATCATAATGCTATCCATTGGAAACATTCTTTTTGCTGAATGTGGAGTAAATGAATTCAACATCTTCTTCAATAAGGAAAGCTCATGTTTGCACATCATCACTTGCCTTCTCACAATTGCCAACTATTTCCTGTAATAAGTTTTTGGGTTCACATATTTATAGCTGATAATTGTTTCAAGCAATAAACTTAATTTCCTTCACCATTACAGCAGCCTCATTCAGAATTCCTCTTCGACTCGAAGCAAATGTTTTTATTCTATCTATGTGACTTAAACAGAGTCAAGAAATGTGGGTTTACGATTTGGATTAATCACTACACATTTATGGAACTGCCAACAGCAAATGTTCCAACTTAAAACAGAGACCCCCTTCCTAAATGGTGGGATTTGGTCAAACATAAAACACCTCAGCAAGTAATTGGGAAACCAGTCCATAGTACTTAAACATGTTCTGGGTTCAGAGGGAAAAATGCTGTCACACTAAACATTAAATGGATATTCAATAGGTCACTAATTCTCTGTCAGTGATGCATCCTGTTCATTTTGGTACAAGCCAGTAGCAATTGAAACAGGATTTCAGAGTAGAAATGTATTTATACACTTCAATTTTATTTACATTCATATTTCAAGACTTTAACCCATTTTTGCTTTTAACATCCAATTTTTCTCTATACTTCCACACTCTTCTGAAAGCAGCAAATCATTCTAGGTCATGGGTTAACAATTACATTTTCTGCCTTTTTCTCAATGATGTATCATTTCACACAAGAACTGAGAAAGTTAGCACTGGCAGACTGTAGTTGGCAGGTGGCACTGCAAGTTCAAACAATCCTTTTTTAAGAGGCTCAAGGGGCACTTCAATCTTATAATGTTCTTACTTTTCAATGTAGTCTAATCTGCCCTGATCAAATGGGCACCTTCCAGTTCGAGGGAAGCAATGGCCTAGTTGTATTTATCATTGGTCTGTTAATCCAGAGACCCTACTAATGTTCTGGGGACCCAGGCTCAAATCCTGCCATGGCAGATGGTGGAATTTGAATTTAACAAAAAAAAAATCTAACAGTGACCACAAAAAAAACCATTGTCGATTGTCGGAAAAACCCATCTGGTTCACTAATGCCCGTTAGGGAAGAAAACTGCTGTCCTTACCTGGTCTGATCTATATGTGACTCCAGACTCACAGCAACGTGGTTGACACTTAACTGCCCTCCGGATACTGAGAGTGGACAATAAAAGCTGGTCTGGTTAGTGAGGCCCACATCCCATGAATGAATAAACAGGTTATTAGTTATCTCTAGACAAACTAAGCTGAAGTCAAATATCAAAGAAATTTCATTTGCCTACATGGCTAAGCATTGCCGACATGCCATTCAACAAGTAAATTTGTGTAAATTTCCTTGTTCAACATAATAGACAAATTCTGTCCTTACCTTGGGAAAGGTAGCTCCATCTGTTCCAGCCAGCTATCCTGCTCCGTACTGTAGCAACAATGTTTGGATGACTCATGAGCCGCATCCTCATTTTCACTGTCACCCAAGGCACTGTCTGAGCTCTCATTTCGGGGGATGTCCCACTCAACACCAAAAGGTGCTTTTTTCTGGTCTTCTTCCCCACAGGGGTCATCAACAGAGACCTTTTCTCTGCAGTCCTGCTCAGCAGAACTAAGAATGTGTGAATCTAAATCCATTCCATATATCTTACAAGTGCACAAGCAACTGTTCCCACTCAAGTCACGTTGCTGTTCATTGTTCTGAATATGAAGTCCCATTTCTGAAATTTCTTGTTGCCCAACTTTCTGATCCTCTTTGGGAAGATCATCGATGGTCTTTGTTTCTATTAAATTATCTTCAGTAAAATATTCGTCAAACATGCTCATACTTCCTTCATGTGTAGAATCCCATTTATAATCGTATGATTTGCATGATGTATCCTTTGTCCTATTAATTTTGTTTTGGTCCAGAGTTACAGGCAACACCTCTTGTACCTGAGCTCTTTTTCTAAGCTCCTCAATGTCTTTCCTGAGTGCCTCATGAGTCTCATTTCTCTTGCCTTCTGTATCAGAGTCAGGCGACAGAGAGTAGCCAATCTGAAAGGTGACTTTTTGTATTGAATTGGGACTGCCTCGGAGATGGTTTGAACTACAGGGCACTGAGGTAGACAACTGCTTATCAGGAGGCAGTTTCTCGACAACAGGCTCTATGATAAGACTTTGGCCTGCAGCTGCAGATTTGACAGACAGCAGTGTTTCAGTCTTGGCTTCCTGAAGGTAGTTTTTGCTTTCCTTATATTGCTTGATGGTATCTTCTCTGCCAAGAGTTGTCAGATTTGTACTACAACTACTTGGACTGCAGTTGGCTTTCCATATGTTCCTGTGACATCTTATAAACGTATCACTTGATTCTTCCTGCCTGGTAACATCATGCTGTTCTTTCGCAGCATGAAGGGGGCACTTCTCATCCCGATACAAACTCACAGCACTGTCCCGCGAAAGAGAGTTTTGGTTTTGCAATATGGTTGGAAAAAGTGAACTTTTATTCCTGTGAAGCGTAACCACAACATATTCTGACTCTTCCACCTCTCCTTTCTCCAGAGACGTGGTCATTACTGACTCGCTCACTTCCGCATCACCATCCCCCTCGACCACCAGCTGGGTTTCCTGCAGCTCAGAGCAACGAATGAAATACGTGAGGAAGTGAAGCAATCGCTGAACCAACTCCTGTCGTTTACCGATCACCACAGTTCGGGCTAATCTTACTGGAGAACCTATTGCACCATGCAGATCAACTGTCAGAAAAGTAAATAATTAAAATTAGAAGAATACTCTCTCTGTGAAGCTTTTTTAGGGGCGGAACAAAGGCAAAAGAAATGTTTGAATGAAGTGAATACATTTCTATGCTTGCAAACTGAGCTCTTTTATGCTTTCAGCACAGGACTTGATCCCACCTTGTGGAGTTAGCTCTATGGAACACTAGTCAATGCAAAGTAAAGCTTGCTTTATTTTCCTTTACTCTGCCTACCTGATACTGAAGACTCCCACCACGTTCATTACGGTCTCCATTCTAGTAGAGCACCAACAGATTGGATAAAAACATTCCAAATTATGGACTGCTCTGCTTTACGGATGTAAAACCATGAAAAACCAGATTGTGCAAGTCTATTTTACATGGACTCACTACAGTCACAGAGATTTCATCGTAGTTTGGCCAATTTGAATGTAAGTCTCAAAAGCGGAAAGACTTTTCCCTTTATCATTCTGGTAAAATATCTTTAAAGGTTCATTTGGGCATACAATTTGCAGAAATGCTGCTGCACTAATTAGCAAAATACGGCTTTCCTTAAAAAAAAACAAAAGCAACAGTTAATTTATTTTCAGGGCATCATGTGTACATATAACAATGAAATCAATCAGATCCAAGACTAATAGCATTAGATTAATTTGTATACAAATGGATAAAGGTCAATGATCAAAATGTGAATTATACAAATAATGAGCCAAATAGATAGTTCATATTCCATGAAATAAAATGAGAATCTTCTTTCAACGGTGAGGGCTTCACATTTAAGTAGGAAGCATTGCAGTCATAAATTTTAGTAATGTAGTGACACATTAAATATTATTTACTGGATCATATTCTACATCTTTAAAGTCTTATTAAATCATATAATAAATGTGTTTTGATGACCCATGACTTGATTATAGCTGAGGCTCAAGAGGAAAATCACCAAATTGACATGCTTGATCAAGAGGAAGAAAAAGAGCAACCAGAGAGGTTTTCAAAAATGGAGAAACTGCCACATGGGTTTTAATAATTCCTGCTTTGGGTTGTACACTTGACTTTTTAATTCTTTAAAAAGTGATAGAATTTCTGCTTTAGGTGTATTCAGAAAAAGTGAACTTAAAATGTGTTTGGAATTGCACAGGTTGGAGAAAATGTTAAGTTTCTGCTAAAATATATTTGCAGGATTATAACCATAAAGGCTTCCACAAACCGACTTAATCAGGTAACAAAGTGTATTCTTTGTTGTTTTGAAGAGTAGTAAACTAGTGTAGTTTTAGAAATAAGACTGTGAATTAATTTATCAGCAAAAATAAGTATTGCTAATAAAGCTATCCAGTTCTCTACCTGTGATGAGCCAGATTTAAAAATCACTGAAAATACCTTATATAAGCTTAATTATTTCACTAAACAGTTTCTTACTAAAATAAATATTTCATTGAAATGAAAAAAAACAAACATTCAAATTTGCTTAGTAGTGTCGATGTACCTAAGAAAATAAACACAGTTTGAAGAACTATCCCGAACCAGATTAAATTGACAAAAAAATCTTCAATTTCATTGGTTTTGGGAGGGGACTGATTTGGATTAACTAAATCCAGGTCATAAGAAATAGGAGGATCCCTCATGCCTGCTTTGCCATTCAGTAAGACCATGGGTGATTTTTAACCTTAATTTCTCTTTCCCACCCTATTTCCCCTACTGTCCAATCTAATGATTTTGTTGTTGAAAACACTCAACAACTGAACATTCACAAACCTCTGAGCAGAGAACTTCAAAGATACACAAACTTTAGCGAAGGAAAATATCATCCTAATCTTAAATGACAAACCTTATCTAAACTTTCATTTTGTTCTAGTGTGCGACCGATTAGTTCAAGTGCGTGGGCCATTTGCATCTTTTTGAGTGGTAACTTAAAGGGGCCAACCTGTGTGTGCAAGCTATCCAGTTGCTACATGGCTGTCTGGTTTGGGAAGAACACTAGCCCTATAATTATGCTGAGACAACTAAGTTCTCCAGCCAAAGGGAAGTCCCAGACATCTACACTGTAAAGCAGTCTAACAATTTATTGCCTTTCAATAAGATTGCTTCTCGTTGTTCCACATTCCAGACAGCATGAACCCATTCTACTTTCTCCCTCCTTACATGACAACCCAGTCTCAGTGAAGCTTCGCTGCACCATCTCCAAGGCAAGTGGAGATGTGCCTTCATTAGGCAAGAACAGAACTAGTTGGGGTCTCCCCAAAGCCCAATATAAATACAGTTCTGCTTGATTACTGCTATATTCCAAAACCGCTCTGCACGTGCCTTCCAAATTTCTTCCTGTATATGCATGTCTGCATTTCTGTTATTCACGTACAGGGACACCTAAATGCCTCTGTATACTTTGTCTCCTACTAGTAGTTTTTAAAACATATTCCGCTGTTGCATTATCATGAGAGTGGACAATTTCACACTTCCCCACGTTATTTACCATCTGCTTGCCCAGTCATTTAACTTGTCTATACCTCTTTGTAGATTGGAAAGTAAGCTCTGAGGAACACAGTTTTGTATCGTCAGCAATATTGAATGTGCTACATTTGGCCATCTCATTTAAGTCGCTAACATTGTAAATAGTCGAGAGGGAAACTATAATTCACAAAAGTACTCAACATTGAGAAGTGATGGAAAAAACATTGCAGTAAACACAGAAGTGGTTTTGAATGTTAACTCTCTTACGTAGAATTCCCTAACCTTTTATGTTGGCTCAGGAAATTTCATCCAGGGTGCATCATATTACAACATTTGCTTTCCACCCTACAACATATTACATGCTTATAACAGTCCTTGTACTTCAATAAATATTTAATTGACTATTCTACTTCAAAACATTCTACAGTTAGGAAAGGCACTGTATCAATGTGAGGCTTTTTCAATCATGCTAAATGAACTGGGAGAAATGAGCATAAACTCAATCCCAACTGATATTTATCCCTCAATAATGCCATATTTGTAAACATGCGTCAGAGCAGGACTTACCAAGCTGGGCCCAAAGGGGGTTATATGGGTTTGACTTTGATAACATATCCACGCTACGAGAGGAGTGTTTTTCCAAGAAAATCTTTATAGGTGGTTGACCATTTGGCATTACTGTTGGGACCCAGGCAAGATGATTTGTGAGCACAGCAGTAATCAGGGCTGGTAGAAACCTGATTAAAAACAACAGGATAAACATTTGAACAATTCAAGATGGACATTTTATCAGCTATGTTTTCACCTTACAGGAAAGGTATGCCCAAGCAATAAATGATCACAGCAGTGGGATAAAGGAGGCTTAAACCCCAAATCTGTCAAACGCCTTCTTTCACTGTAGGGCACTGTATGGCTTTCAAAAATCCTACAAGTACTCACATACTGCTAAAGACTGACCAAGCCACTAAGTTCAAAATGCTGCGAGAAAGCTAGGATAAAATTGAATGGACTGCTTGGCATTAACCAGGGCAATGGGTTTGTCTAGTCTGGCCAATAATGTGTATGGACTTTTGCCAGATTTGGGAGAGCTGCCCACAGACTCAAGTTTTACATAGTCATACTCTCAATCATAACTGTCAGCCAAAGTCCCAGAAACCACCAACAATGTGAATTTTCTGAAGAAGGGTCCCAACCCGAAACGTCAGCTTTCCTGTTCCTCTGATGCTGCCTGGCCTGCTGTGTTCCTTCAGCTCCACACTGTGTCATCTCTGACTCCAGCATCTGCAGTTCTTGCTATCTCACCGACAGTGTGTGTCCTGTTTCACCAGCAGGACGGATCCATGAGAACTGGCTGCAAGGTGGTTGCGGGGGTGGGGAGGGAGGGTGCGTGGTGGTGGTGAGGTAGCTACCGAGATGCTAAACATGGACTTTAGGTTTCATGGGGTACGATCAAAACATGAGCAAGCAAAACTCATCCTCACCAATGCATCTAGCCACAAAAATACTGGAGAGTGACCACTGCACAATCAGTTTTTGTGGAAACACGATCACACCACCACCATGTTAAACAGGACAGATTCAGAGCACATCAGATGATCAAAATTGGACACCAGTAAGCCAACAATAGAAGGGTCACAGGCACAACCTGTAACCTCACAGTCTGGCATATTCCTCACTCAACCATTACCATCGAGCCAGAGGATCAACTCTGGCTCAATAAAGACTGCAGAGAGCATGCCAGTAGCAGTAGGAAGCATACCAAAAAATGAGCTGCAAACCTATGAACTTATATCACAAGACATGTATGTTAAACAATAAAACTGGCACACTGTCCCTAATTTTTAGTCTACCTGTTCAGACAGGTTATGCCATACCTCTGGGACGGATGGGACTTGAATCTGGACTTTGTGATCTACAACCATCAGATCTGATCAAACGTTCTACTGTCCTTTCACATCCAGTCATGAACAGTGATGGATAATCAAACAAACAGGAGGCAGTGGCCCCATGACGGTAAAATCCAGTACTTGATTACAAAAACCGCAGCTCTGCCTTTGCAACCTTCTTCAGCCAAAACTATCAAATGGATGAACCATCTTTGGCACCTTGGCGGTCAGCAACATCATAAATGCCAGAGTAATTTATATAGGTTCATGCAGTTATTTAAGATACAGGAGGCTATTTGATTCAGTGGAATCCAGGCAATTTGATTTATTCCACGCAATCTCAAGAAATTATTGAAGGCACTAGTAAATGGCACTGACAATATCCTAGTACTAGTAGTAGTGTAAATGCTTTTGTCAGAATGAGATGTTGCCTCTAGCCAAAGTGTTCCAGTACAGGTACAACACTGGAATCTAATTGACAATGTGGAAGACAGGACAAATCCTATTTGGCTAATTACTATCCCATCAGTTACCAGCTAGATGAAAGAAAGGGATATGGCGGTACCATCAAGCAGCACTTAACTCATCAATGTTCAGTTTGGGTTCCACAGGACCAAATCAGGTATAGACCTAATTATAAACTTGGTCCAAAAATAGCCGAGTGTGTTCAATTCCAGGGTGACTGTTCTTGACATCAAAGCAGCCTTTGAGCATGGCATCAAAGTGTCAACTGGAATCCAAGGAAACTCTCCAAAAGCTGAAGTTGCACTTAACACTCAGGAAGATGATGGTAGCTGTTGGCGGTCAATCACGTCAAGCCCCAGTCATCGCTGCAGTTTTAATCAAACTGTTCAGCGGTGTTGAGCTGGATGAACAAAGCAGGCTAAGCAGCATCATAGGAGCAGAAAGGCTGATGTTTCAGGCCTAGACCCTTCATCAGGGTCTAGGCCTGAAATGTCAGCCTTTCTGCTCCTATTAGCTGTGTTCATCCAGCTCTGCACCTTGTTGTCTCAGATTCTCCAGCATCTGCAGTTCCTACTATCTCTGTTCAGAGGTGTTCCTGCATGTCTCTAGAGCAGGTGGGACTTCAACCTGTTGTGTCCCAAGCCCAACCATTTTCAGCTGCTTTATCACTGACCTTCTTGCCAACAGATCAGGATAGGAACATTTGCTAACAAATGCAGTGTTTAGTTCCACTCTCAACATCTCAGAAGTTTAAACATTCCGTGCCCAAATGCTGCAATATCTGGACTCAAATTTGGGATCATAAAATTCAAATGATAATTATGCCACTTAGAATTAAAGTCATAAATACTGTGAATCAAAGAATGGTCAAACATTCTGCTGTGAGCAACTCGCCTCCCGACTCCCTAAAACCTTCCACCCATTTATAATGCACGAATCAGGAATGTGACGGTTTGTTCTCCATTGATGAGTACAGCTCCAAAACTGCTCAAGAAAATGAACATCAGGACAAAGCTGCTCATTTGACTGTGTGAATGCATCCTGGCACTCACCCCCTCAACCAAGATTCTGTGAATGAATAAGAGAACATTCTGCCTAAGGTTCTGAAAGACAGAATCAGCTATTCAAATTAAATTGTCACACCAAGAAATAAATATTAATTCTTGCAAAGCAACAGTCAGTCACTAAATACAGAAATGAAATTTAGTCTCAGTTTGCAATGCATGCGTTCACCTCGATGGGCAAGAATCCAATGACTTCGAGGGTCACCTGGGATCTCATCATGAGCTCCGGTTTGAAAACCAATGTTCAAAAGGAGTACTTGAGTCACTTCCACGTGAAGTGTATGTGCTCGCCCACAAGGAGGTGGGAGTTCTCCTTGGTTTTCTGGGTAGTTCCTCACGGATTTCTTGCATACTTAGACGGATGCCCGTTTTCAAATTTTTCTTCCCTTTCACAGAGAAGTGTGGCAATGGGCAGGGTGCATAGAAAGAGATGAAGATTTTAATCGGTCACAATTAAGATAGCGAAAATTAATTGTTATCCAGCAAGAAAATGCAGAGGAAATAGTTATTCACCCACGCACACTATAGAGCTGTATTTCTGGGTATTTTGGTAGAGATAATTTGTACCAGAAGACTTGAGAATGATACGCTATGAAAACAGACCCTTCGGTCCAACTAGGCCATGCCGACCATATTAATCTTTTTGTTTCCAAAATGTTGAATCCCCAAGTGTTACTGACTATGAGGCACTTTTACTGAATAAGTGACCATGCAAAAAGTTAAAATATATGCTTCGTGTGTTCCTCTTTATGGTGAGGGCAAAAGTAGCAAAAAAGAGAACCAGTACAAGTCAGAAGAGTGATTCTAACTCCTGTGTCAGCAAACAGTGTATAAACAGCAAAATAGCCATGGGAAGTGGGTTAAACACAAAATGTTATTTGCTTTTGAACATAACATTTGAGATTTTCACTTTCTCTCATGAATTTTGCATCTTCTTCCTTTGGTTGAAAAGAGGCAAGTGATCAAGTTTAAGCTTCCAGGCCTTCATAAATGCAGTTCCTTATTTCTCCACTGGGTGGTGCACAAGAGACAATGGATTGTGCCTTTGAGAATGATTCAACCTCCACTCCTCTTCACAACCAACTGCAGTGGGGCCTCTGCCTATCATTGTATTACACATAACAATAAAAGGAAAAACAGTTTTAAAAATAAAATTGAAGCTTCCTGTAAGTAACCAAAGATTGAAACGAAGTAAATGTCACGAAATGATCGTTCGTAGAGTCATTCCAACAATCGCTATTACACGTAGAATTCCTCAATTCCTCACAGCTGTAGGCAGAAGATGCTAACCTCAAGACCAATTCCTCTCCTCCCCAGATAACACCTAGCAGCATACTAAAAAAAAAAGTCAAATATCATAAAATACTGTGGATGCTAGAAACCTGAAACAAAAACAGGAATTGTTGGAGAAACTCCACAGGCCTGGCAGCATCTGTGGATGGAAAGCAGAGTCAAACCTGGAGTCCAGTGACCCTTCTTCAGAACACCTCAGACCCCTTTGAAATGTTAACTGTTTCTTTGCACAGATGCTGCCAGACCTGCTGAGTTTCTCCAGGAATTTCTGTTTTAGTTTTAAGAAACGAGTCACTCTTATGCGTCTTTAAGCAACTCAACTTCTTCAGCAGGTGCTCGGAACACTAAAGGTGGTGGTCCATCACCTTAGCAGTGGGCAGGCAAGAAAATCTAAAGAAAGTTGGGACCAAAAATGCCAAGAGATAGAAAGAATCTGACCGGAAAAGTATTTTAGTAGTATTTGGAATCAATCATCCATCAACTGTTTTGTATATTTCCTACAAATGCTACACAGCACTCGAAGTAAAAATGCTAGAAATTGTCAGCAGGTCAGCCAGCTTTAGTGGAGGGAGTATCAGAGTTAATGTTTTAGGTCAATGACCTTTCACCAGAACATAATTGTACTTCTCCATTCTAACTTACGAAAAACCTTCAATACTCAACTGATTCTTTGATGTTTGTTCCATCAGTAAAGACAACTCCTTCATAAACTGTTGGCAAAGCAGGTTTTTTTCAGGTGTTCCAGACATCATGGTCAACCAGACAGGCTCTGTAATCCTTGGCATGGTGTAAAGATTATATATCGCTGTCCTAATTTTGAAAAGGGGAGATGGGCAGAGAAAGAGAAAAAAGGTCAAGTTATTTTTGGATCTGAACACATCAGTTTTTCTTAAATATAAATTGTGTGAAGAGAACAATATGTATTACTTTTCCTTACATTAGCTACAAAGCCGAAAACAAAGATAAAAAGCAAAAAGTGTGCCTCTTCATACCCTAAGAGTCACTTAAATATGAACTGCTCCTGCACAATATCTTCTAATATTACCTAAGCATACAACGTATTAGAAGTATTTGTTGTGCTTAGAAAGCTGATTATATTTCATAGCAAGCAACATACAGCCTACTATTCTTAACAGTCCTTGGCATCAGTTATCACTGATATATGTTCCTTTGACAGCTATCAAATTCCATCTGGCAGTGGGCCAGTAGACATGTGACTGGTAGAGTGGAAAGCTGGATCTCAAACATTTTAAGTCTTTCATCCAAAAAGAAACTCAGTTGAAAAAAAACAGCACAGCTGCTATAATTCTCTTAAGCCGTTTCAAAATGAAAAACGTAATAAATTTTTCCCATTGACAAACATAATAACGTAACAGCATTACAGGAAGTGAAAGGATCTTCCACTTAACTAGAAGTCTCTTTGCTGCAGTAGCGTGCCCAGATGCTACAACTCTGTATCAGAGCAAAGAGTCAGATATTAATCTTTTAGTGCGGCTCATCAAGAATTCACAGAAATCTTCCTCGTTCTAAAGCTTGCCAACAGTTGTAAAGAACTGTAATAATTCATTGCGGACAATGATATTTATAGACAAGGTAATAACAGATATATGGGACCTCTGGAGGTTGTGACAGTTGTATGGTAACCTCTGACTGAAGGACAACCCTGAACAAGCTCTCAGCCAAAGTCCCTATTCCTAGTTAACACGGGATACACTTGAATACCTCAACCAGTACTGTTCGTGGACACATCATTGAAGATGCCTGGCAGATCCTTCCAAGGATCTTTCAGAAGCCACCATGGGCTATGGAGTGCTTACTTTTTTTGGAGCTGCTAGGTTTTTTTTAAATCCCCAGTGATAATTACAATCCAAAGTAGCATGCCCATTGTTGATCTGTGACCACTAATCAAACGTGATTTAGGTTTTATGCAAAACTTTTGAACAAAACCATCCTGTTTATGTTTTGCATTTACTCTGTGACTGAATCCATCACTAACAGTATCACAACACCTGATAAAATTAGCTGTTCTCAATCGAATAAGGATATAGACAGTACAATATATATACTTATTTAATAAATTAGTACAAAAAGACACATTTCATTCCCAGATTGCACTGACACACTTAGAGGTAGTAAATCACATTAAAAAGAAACTCCTGGTTACAGCTCACCTGTTGAATAGCTTGGTCGCAAATTGCATACAACCCGGGGAATTGTTAAAAGGGACAGGGAGCATAAACATTAAGAGGGACATTAACTCAAAATAAACAAAACTGGGCTGTTTTATAGTTTAGAAAATTATTTAACAGAAAAGCAACATTTGTATTTTAGCAATATTGTTATCTGATTCAGTTTGTCAACATCCATGAGAGCCAAACATTAGGATGCATCATTATGGTTTTCCACAATCTACAATTTGGATCTTATCCATATGCCAACTTGTTTGGTTCATCACTTTTGATTAGATAAACAACAGACTAGATAAAAGCCTTTGAAGAATGCTTGTAGCATATACTTATGTGGGATATTTCACAACCATTGCAATTGTTTTGGTCACTTGCTAAAATAAATCACTGAATAACCTATATGTGCCATCTCAGTACATCTCCTTTAGGTAAAGTGAGATGTAATTTTTTTTTTTTAAAAAACACACAGTCATAGAAGGAGGTGATAATCAAGATTCAAAACAAATATTTTCAGTACAACCAGGCAGCCTACAGTTACAACGCGGTCTTCACAACCTGCAAGGCTTTAAAAACAAAGTGAGGTTTAAAATAAAGCATATTCCCAGAGTATATAAATGTTACATCAAAACACTCACCTGAATTCATTCAAAGCATCTACAATCCTACTGTAACCCAGAACACGCTGGTTTGCCTCAGAAATTCTATTTCGCATTTTCATAGCCTAAAAAGAATAAGAACACAAATAATCTTCAGTAGGAGCATCCAAATATGCTACATTCATGCTGAAAATGTGCAGCTAAAGCTGTGGTATTAAAACTGATTGTGAAACATTCCAAGCTTCCAGAAAAGCCTTTGTGTCTTTCATTTTTTTTAAAAACAAGTATTTCATGCAGTATCGAAGATGCTAGAGGACAAAGGAATACAATCCCAAATCTTGGCTTTTTGTTTAATATCTATGAAAGACCTAGACATCGATGACATCTATTTTGACATCTATAAAAGAGTAGGAATTTTGTAAGAACAGTGACTATGTTTAATTCATTATTGCTGAAGCATAGTAGAATCTTTGAGACACAGTAAACCACTACATATAGAATACACTTTAAACTGAGGCACACTCAGCATCCCTTGGCAATGCACTGGAACGTACAATAAGGATGACCTGTAAATGTGTTCCAGCCTTTTCTAGGAGTAATTGTGATGCTAGTTTTGAAGATAATATTACATATTGAATTGACTTAACAAGTTCACTATTGAAGACTCAAGAAAGTCCTTCAGGACCATTCTGAGGAGAGGATATTTTGGTCTTGTTTGACTTTCTCCAACGACAACCAAGTTCCAACGTAAGTGGAAGCTGGATTGGATACAAATCCAAGTAGTCCTAATCCACTATTCAGAATTGTTAAATATCAAGGGGATCAAGGGTTACAGGGAGAAAGCGGGAGAATGGGGTTGAGGAACTTATCAGCCATGATTGAATGGCGAAGCAGACTCGATGGGCCGAATAGCCTAATTTTTGCTCCTATGTCTTATGGTCTTATGAAATGCAAACGCTCCTCTGGCTTGTACAAAAGGTCTAGGATGAAGATGTGAAATAGAGTTGCAATCAAAGGGACAACGAAATAGCTAAGAAGATAAATGTTTGTACAAAGCTTTCAAGACCAGTGCAGATCTTAGCAAAGGCACTTGCACCTGGACAGTTGCTAGAAAATGTTACCTGGAAGCCGGGTAAGAGGTAACATTGGACTTAGTACCTACAGTGACTGCATCACTTCAGCATCCACTGGACCTTCGCAACTTCAAATGGTGTCACATCCATTCAACTGAATATGACATCTAGTCATATTCAAGTCATAGGTAGAAGTATCGTGCATTTAATTCTTACAGTGAGTTGATTTGCTCCTGACCTCACTCAAGGAATCCTGAATTCTTGCTGCTATCTTGGCAAGGGTTCAAACATGAGAGTTTTCTAATGAGTAACTACTGATAATCCTAAAATGTTGGATACAAAATCTGGGTCTTTTGGGAGGTGACATTGCTACTGATGGCAATTAGAAAGCTGCTACAGGACAAATAATTCAACTAGTGAGTCCCAGGAGATATTCTTACTGGACTACGGTCCATGGAGAGCCCTCTTGTAGTACAGTGGTAATGTCTCCACCTCTGGAACAGAAGGCTTGGGTTCAAGTCCTACCTGCTCCACAGCTGTGTAATAACATCTCTGTACAGGGTGATTAGAAAGTATCTAGGTCCGAGATTCATCCCAGTTAACCGTCATGTCAATTCTCTATTTGGTAGGAAATGCTGTCAAGTGGCAGGAAGCTTCTCAGTGTTCTGTTCTAATAGTAAGCACAATTTAAACTTGTTAAATTCCCGTTTTAACTATGTACAGACTTGGGAATCATCAAGTATAGCTCTGCCAAAACAGACCCAAGCTCTCTGGAGACGGATAAATAGTATCCCAGCCAGAAACATAAGTGTCTACATTGGGTCAAAAAAAAATCTCTTTACAGATTTATTAGCAACTGAGAATAGTGATAAACTCCATGTTGACTAATGAAGATATTATTAAATCCAAGAAAGGGAAAAATAACAAAATTAGCAAAGGTCATATTAGAGTAGGGTAGGCAAGCACACGCCTGTGATTCACAAACTAATGAGCTGATTTCAACTATTTTAAGGTAATTTTATTTGCTTCTCATTTCACAGGGAGCAAAAATCAGTTAATCTGGCTATTCATCTGAACTGGTCAGCCGCAGTTCCAGAACTAGATAAGGTATTAGAATTAATTACACTGTGATTTACAGTCATCCGTCCCCACCCATACCATCTTCATCTCACTAGGCAGTTTTTAAAAAAAATCTTGATAGAAACTTGAAAGGTTAGTTACTTCCACAAGGGAAAATGAAGGCAGGACTTACACACTTAATGGTAAGGTTTTGGGGAGTGTTGGCGAACAAAGAGACCTTGGGTGCAGGTTCATAGTTCCTTGAAAGTGGGGTTGCAGGTAGACAGGCATTTGGTACCCTTGCCTTTATTGGTCAGTCCATGGAGTATAGGAGTTGGGAGGTCATGGTGCGGTTGTACATGACAATGGTTAGGACACTTTTGCAATACTACATTCAATTCTGGTCTCTCTGCTATTGGAAAGATGTTGTGAAACTTGAAAGGGGTCAGAAAAGATTTACAAGAATGTCACCAGGGTTGGAGGGTTTGAGCTATAGGGAAAGGCTGAATAGGCTGGGGCTACTTTCCCTGGAGCTTCAGAGGCTGAGGGATAATCCGACCAAAGTTTATAAAATCATAAAGGAGCATGGATAGGGTGATTAGTCAAGTCTTTTCCCCAGGGTGGGGAGAGTCCAAAACTAGAGGGCATAGTTTGCAGGTGAGAGGAAAGATTTAAAAGGGACCTAAGGGCAACTTTTTGATGCAGAGGGTGAGTGGTGTGTATATGGAATGAGCTGTCAGAGGAAGTAGTGGAGTCTGGTACAATTACAACATTTAAGAGGCATCTGGATGGGTATATGAATGGGAAGGGTTTAAAGGGATGTGGGCCAAGTGCTGGCAAATGGGACTAGATTAATTTAGAATATCTAGTCAGCATTGGCGGGTTGGACCAAAGGGTCTGCTTCCGTGCCGTTCTTTTCTATGATTCTAAGAGTACAACAAACTTCAAGTACTATGCACATTTTACACTGGAAATATTTTCTAATAACAGCGTTCAGTTGTTTTCCTGGCCACAGTTGTTCATGTTGAATAAATAATCTCCGCACATTAGCAATCATGATGCAAACATATCCATCAAGTGGCACTTGGTCACTAAATGACTCAAACAAAATCATGTGGCATCACTTCCCAATTAGCAGGAGGAAGTGTGAATACCTGCTCAATAGCAAACTTCAGTCTGTTCACATGACTCTCAAAGAGAGGAAAATGAGCAAAGAAGAACTCGTGAAACTTGTTATTCTCTTCCTCGTCTTCTGACAGTGAAAATATAACCCCAATAGCAATCTTCTTTTTTCGAATAGTGGAGGGATTGGAACTACAGCTTTCATCAGACATGTTAAAGCTCTCCTCTACTGACCTGAAAGACCAGAAAGACTGTGAACTTTACAGCAAACAGATGCATTTAATACATTATATATAAAAAAGTTCAGTGAATAATAGCAACTGAAAGTAGAGCAAGTCCATACAAAAGAATTTAGTGAAATCTCTAAAGGCAAATAGGCAGTAAAAGGGCTTTTGGACAGCAACCAAAGCTGCCTTAAATCAGTAGCGCTATTCAAGTTAAAGGTTTAGGTTTTCTTACATGGGGAAATCACCAGAGGATGAGATCTTACTTTAGCTGGTGTACAAGATGGCAAAAGAAAATGCAAATGAGGCCTCGGCAGAGCGCTTAACAGCTGGTCTCAAAACTGCAAACCAACAGCTGTGCATGGTCAAGTGCCTTGATCAGGGACAGTCTGTAAATTCTGGCTCAAAAAAAAAAGGGAGTGGGTTGGGAAGAGGTAAGGCAAAAAAAGAAGACCGAAAAGGGAGATTTCCTCCAAATAACTCCTGCTTCCCACAAACAGCAAAGTAAGACTCTGGAGACATGCAGTATCTGTCTACGATACAATGCAACATAATATTTCAAGGTATGAAACACCAACACATGCAGGTAGATGTAGGTAAGGTGTATGGCCTGATTGGGGTATATAGATTTAGCTTTAAAAATAAAAGGGATGCTATTTAGGTCCAAGACGAGGAGAAATTTTTACTCAGATGGTCGTGAATCTTTGGAGTTCTTTACCACAGAGAGCTGTAAAAGCTCAGTCTTTGAGTATGCTTAAAGGTCAGGATTGATAGATCTCTGACTACCAATGGTGTACAAAATCAACAACACCCATTAGAGCAGGGGCAAGAGCTGAAGGTTACTTTGCAGTAAGATCACTGTTCTTCTATGACAACTGGAAGAACAGGGATTCTTTGCAATGACAGGATATCACAAGAGTCATTAGTGGCCATTGTACAATCTCTCAGTCTACAGGGCATTCAAAATGGCTGAACCACAAGTCTCAGTTATACTTCCCACCATTCCCCACCACACCCCTCCTCCCAAAAAGAAGCAAATGCAACCCAAGTGCTCATCCGGCAGGCAACAACTTGAGCTCTTCAGGTGAATATCTGCTGTAGCACAGGGTGAAGAATTACTGGTTAATTCGAGATGATCAACCGGTGTGATATGGTGGGAGATTTTGAATTCAGTGCATTGGCTGCCAGACAGGGAAAGGTTTACAATTTTGTGAAATGTCAATCAATACTTGCAGACAAGCTGGAATGCAATATTTGCTCCAAACATCCCTTTTTTGAATAACCGTAGACTTACCATCTGGGGAAAACTCCATTTTCAAGACTAGTATTTTGACTACGACGCCAGCGACGATGGTAGCTGCTCGCACAACTATTGGGAAGTGAGGAGCTTGGTGAAGGGAACGGAGTGATAAGCAGGCTGCTCAAGGAAGCTGTCAATATGATCAGAAAGAGATTTTTGACTTGGCTAACAATAGCATATCTAACTTAATTAAACAGCCAACTTTGGTTTTTTTTCCAGTAAATTCTTATACAGCATCCAAGTGTCATTAAAATAAAACAAAGATGCTGTAAGTCTTAAAAACAGACAGTGCTCGAGACACACAGCAGGGTCAGAAACTCAGATGAAGGGTCTCTAGACCTGAATAGTTAACCCAGTTTCTCTTTCTCTCTACAAATGCTGCCAGACCTGCTGAGTTTCTCCAGCACTTTCTGCTTTCGATGCAAATGTAGTTATTGACTTTCACAGTTAATCCAAAAAGTGTTCTATCACCAACTTAAAAAATTCAAGGTAAATAATGCTAGTTTCAAAATGAGAGAAGCTATACCTTTGTCAAATTATTCAGTAATTAGTATTTTTTTTTAAAAATAGCATGTTTAGGATGGTCATGTTAAAACTTAGCCTGAACCATAAATACTTAATTCTGCACAGCAATTTTGAAAGTTGGTGGGATTTTTCTGAATTTATGCTGAATGACACGTGGCATTTGTCCTCTGATAGCCAGGCCATCATGACATCAGCAGACACATGTGAGTGGTTTATCTTGTTGAAGATTGTTATGCCCCAGAAAATGAAAGAAACTGAATTACAAAGTTTTAATAGTATTAAAAAGTAGACAGTTTTGAAATATCAAACTACACATAAAAATCTATAATGTAATAGGCATATACAACAAACATAGGCAACGAACACCATCCAAAGCAATTTTTAAAAAAATGGGCAAGGGTTTTGTTTTAAAACCAATAATTGGTAATGTTAGAGTCTTAATACTTTGGAACTCAAATCTTTCTGATATTTCTAAAAAGCCATTTAAATTCATTTGAGCTAAATTATCGAGGATTTTGGCTAAACTCTGATGCACAGCTTTCCCATGTTAGAAAGTAAAAGATCGTAGGTTTGACCTTGTGTGCTGAACAAGCTGAATTTATACATGGTAAA